CTTGTTTAAAAAAATTTATTTTTATATATAGTGGCTAACATTTGTAAATCTCAAACTCCCAAATTTATCCCCTCCCATCCCCTCTATTTCTTGATTAACACTTATCACCAATAAAACGGCTAAACTCCAGCAATGACTATGAAAGGCGATCTCATCTTTACAGATTGGCAGAGTAGGGAAAAAAGCTCCCTAAAATTGTTTTAAAAGAAGGCTCTTCAGGGGGGAGGGTTCAGCTCAAGTGGTAGACTGCATGCTTAGCATGTGTGAGGTCCTAGGTTCAATTCCCAGTACCTCCATTAGAAATAAATAAATAAATAAGCCTGGTTACTTCCCCCGCCACACACACAAAAAACTAAATAAATCACTCTTCAAAAAAAAAGTTAAAAAAAAAGAAGGCTCTTCATTACAAATGTAAAAGATGACAACTAGGCTGAAGATTGGAGACTTGGTGGTGGGTCATCTCTTGTCTCTGCCTTCAGCCTGCCTGTTTGTAAGGAAGGATGGGAGCCAACGAGGGCTCCCAAATCTCACTGTGCATCTGCATCACCGGGGCAGTGATGAAAATGCGCAGAATTGCAGGCTCTGCTCCTCAAGGCTTCTGAATCAGAATCTGCTGGGGCCAGGTTAAGAATCAGACTTTTTTTTTAAAGTTCTTCAGGCGATTCTTGTATTTATTCAGATTTGGAGATCACCCACATAAATCTTAATGGAGCCTCCAACGTTCAGCACTTGTTAAAACGCAGATTCCCAGGTGCTGTGTGTTAGGACCCCCCCCCCCCAGTATTTTAACAAGCTCCCCAGCTGATTCTGATCCTGGTGGGTCTTCCATTTCCCCCGGCTTGTGGGCTTTTGATTCTGGTGTTCTGAGTCATACTGAAATGTAAGACACTGTCCTACACTGACAAACCTCTCTGAGCCTGTGGTTAAATGCATGACCAGAGGCAGAAAGGGCAATCAGGACCAGGTAACAGGATTTCCGGGGCTTAATGTGCCCCATTATGTTGTTTATAGCATTTCTGCAGAGCACCAATAGGAAAATTAAGTGTAAGTGGAACAGAGAGTTTTATAAGACTACATCAATTACTCTTTCAGTACGTGATCCAGTAAACACACCCTATAACAGATCTGGACCGTAAGATATTACATCTAGAACAGTGGTTCTCACCTGCGGGGGATTTCGCCCCCTAGAGGACATCTGGCAGTGTCTGGAGACATTTTTGGTAGTCACACTGGGTGTGGGGGCACCACTGGCATCAAGTATGCAGAGGTCAGGGAAGCTGCTAAACACCCCACAGTGCCCAGGACAGCCCCCGACAACAGAGAATTATCAGGCTGAAACATCACCAGTGCCAAAAGAGTGATCAACCAGTCTATCCCTCCACCCACTATTTCTTATAGGCCAGGCACCCTGGAGGCCCTGGGGCTACAGAGGTGAATAATCCACAGTCCCAGTCTTCCAGACAAACGTAACCGAAAGTTTCTAATAACCCAAGGGTGCTACACCAACAGGGCCATGCATTAGAATCTCCTTATTGGCAGTTGCTAAAGTATGATTTCCAGGCCCCGCAGACCTATTAAGTCAGTGAAGGGGCAAATAAAAATCTCCGAGGGGAGGGTACAGCTCAGTGGTAGAGAGCATGCTTAGCAAGCAAGAGGTCCTGGGTTCAATCCCCAGTACCATCAATCAATCAATCAATCAATCAACCGAATGCTCCCCAATGCCGGGGGAGAAAAAAGAATCTCCAGCTTCCTGAGGTCCGGGGTTAGAGATTCTGGTTCACTGGGTCGGGGAGGAGCCTGGGCGACCCATGACTAGGGAACTTAGGGAAACACAGCAATTGGGCAGCAGAGGGGAGGCATGGAGACCCAGAGGACACCTCAACACCTGAGCTGGGGCCAGAAGGGCAGCACGAAGCACTGCAGGCAAAGACACAGACGCCCATCTCTCGGTGGATCTACCCATGCATCTGAGCAGCAAGCGCTCCACCAGCAACTCCAGAAATGTACCGAGAGGATTTAAAGCAGGAAAAATAAAGGCAGAGAAAATGCTTCCCCATACAAAGAAGCAGGAAGCCTGCCACATGGGGATGAGGGCTCGGGGCTGCCTGGGATACTTAATGGCTACAGGTTCCAGTATCCTCCTAAGAAGCTAACCTTTTACCAAAATGTAACGAGCAAGGTGTAGTTTACCATCACTTCCCAGCTGCTCCTGTACTTTCTCAAAGTCCGACCCGCCTACTACTCCAATTTTGATCTTCTGCCTCAGTTCTTGTAGAAAGCCATCCATGTCTTTGGTAATTTTCTGCATTTCAAAAAGGAAAATAAAAAAATACAATACAAAGTAGTCAGGAGACTAAAATCGCAAGAGCAATACAACCCTTACCTGCCAACTGGGCTTCTAGGTCCACAGATAAGAACAACTATTTCGGCTGGGATTTTGGGACATCAACTTTTTATCAGAAAAACCTTGTTAAATTTGACTTATTTTTACCTAGTTTAAAAGACACAAGTAATATACTAACAGCTGTTATGCACTGCTGGCTCCAGCTATTTTCCTGTGTATTTATATACTTGTCTATAGGCACACATAGAAGACATAACACACACAAACACAGGCACACATTACAAAGTCTTAAGGTTTTTTTTTTTTTTTAAATGGAGGTACTGGGGATTGAACCCAGGACGCTGTGCATGCTAAGTATGCGCTCTACCACTGAGCTATACCCCACCTTCCCCCAAAACAGGTCTTTTTGAAGCACAAGTGGACTCACTCTGTGACTTGTGCAGTATCTTGCTTTTCAGCGCTAATTTGTGGTGTCTTTTCCATAATGTATGTTGATCTAGCACATTGTTTTCAAATATTACACTGTACTCCATTTATGGATTTAAGCTGTTGATTTTAAAACAAAACAACATAAGGGGGAGGGTATAGCTCAGTGGTAGCTCATGCTTAGCATACGCGAGGTCCTGGGTTCAAACCCCAGTATCACCACCAAAAAACTAAATAAATAAACCTAATTACCTCCCCACTGGAAAAAAAATTAAAAACAAAACCCCCAATACAATATAATGAAATTAAAGAGGAAGTTCAGATTTATTATAATTACACAAACAAAAAGCATAAGAGTAAGAGCACCAGATTTTTGAGTCTCCTAAGAGAAAAGCTCCTGTCTAGGCACTGGCCTCAGTGGTGCAATTTTATGCCAGTTAAATTCCCAATGGTGTGCTAACTCAAAAGAATTTTTTTTAAATGAATGTTCTTTTTTAAATTGAGGTGTAGTTGGCTTACAATGCTGTGTTAATTTCTTTGGGGTGGGAGGGGGCAATTAGGTTTGTTTATTTTAGCGGAGGTACTGTGGACTGAACCCACCACCTCATGCATGCTAAGCACGCGCTCTACCGCTGACCTATACCTTCCCCGCAAGCTATTTTAAACTGAGATGAAAAGACATCCTGGTGTTAAGACAAATCACAATGAATTTTTGATAGTCTTATTTCACTACTTTTAGCAATTTTAACTCTACACTTACATGGAATATCTTCACAAATACAGTTACCAGAAATTAAAAACAAAACACCTGCTTAACTTCAGTACAAAAACATCCTGAGTTCAATCTTCTCTTTTTCTTAAAAAATACTTTTTTAAAGAGTAATACAAATGTATGATTAATAAAATAAAATTGTATAGAAGGGCTTATAAGAGTGCAGTCTTTTCTATATCTTCCATGGAATCTTCACCTAGCAGACAAAACCTAGTGGCCTCTGAGTCAATGACAGTGAAAATGGGTCCCACAGTCCCCCCAAGTGCTTTACTGAGAACTGATGTCAGAACGGGAGGAAGTGGGAAAGACATCTGTGACTGCAAAATACTAAAAATGCAAATACAGGGCACAGCAGGGTATAGCTCAAGTGGTAGAGTGCATGCTTAGGGTGCACAAGGTCCTGGGTTCAATCCCCAGTACCTCCTCTAAAAAAACAAGTAAAGCTTTTTTTCACGAAGATGGCGCCGAAAGCGAAGAAGGAAGCCCCTGCCCCTCCCAAAGCCAAAGCAAACGCTTTGAAGGCCAAGAAAGCAGTGCTGAAAGGCATCCACAGCCACAAAAAAAAGAAGATCCAGACATCACCCATGTTCCGACAGCCCAAAACACTGCGGCTCAGAAGGCAGCCCAAATATCCTTGGAAGAGCGCCCCTAGGAGAAACAAGCTTGACCACTATGCCATCATCAAGTTCCCCTTGACCACCGAGTCAGCTATGAAGAAGACAGAAGACAACAACACACTTGTGTTCATTGTGGATGTCAAAGCCAACAAGCACCAGATCAAACAGGCTGTGAAGAAGCTCTATGACACTGACATAGCTAAAGTCAATACCCTGATAGGCCTGATGGAGAGAAGAAGGCCTGTGTACGACTGGCTCCTGACTATGATGCTTTGGATGTTGCCAACAAAACTGGAATTATCTAAACTTAGTTCAGCTGGCTAATTCTAAATATAAAAATTTTCACTAAAAAATAAGTAAATAAACTTAATTACCCCCCCCAAATAAATAAATAAAAATTTAAAAAGTAGGGGAGGGTATAGCTCAAGTGGTAGAGTGCATGCCTTGCATGCGTGAGGTCCTAGGCTCAATCCCCAGTACCTCCCCCCAGAATAAATAAACCCAATTACCTCCTTCCTAATTAAAAAACAACACAATAATAAAGAAACATGCAAATACCAACAGCAAACACAACACTTCCATCTTCAGACAGAAGCCTCAGGGTACAATTTTATCTCATCCTGACCCTTGTGCGCACTGATGAGCTTTATAAATGGTACAGTGGTCAAGCCATCAGACGTGTTCTACAACGTGGATGGGCTGCAGAGGCACCTTTTCACTTCCAAGTGGCAGCAAATACTTTTTGACAGGAAATAAGACCCAGCTGCTTGTGACCACAATAAAGCATCTAAACTACCCCTCACTGCAGGAGAGGTATCAGGAGCAACATGACCATGCAGCAAAATTGCTGTGATGTTTCTAAGTGACTCCTGTGCTGATAATTACAAAGAATTCTTTATAAAGCATCCCAGAGAAAATAAAGCACAGAGAAAGAGCCAAAAGCTTATAATTAAGATGGAAAAATGTTAAAAATTCTGGAAAAAAAATGATAAAGAACTTTTTTGGGATGATTAAGGAAAACTGATGGGAGTAGTAGAGGAAGAGTTAGCAAAATAGGGCCAGAATTGGTCCATTGCTTGTTTCTGTCCAGTGTGACTGGGACACAGCCACATACATTCATTTACACAGTGTCTGTGGCCACAACAACAAAGCTGAGTTGTGACAGAGACCACATGACCTGAGAAGCCTCAACCATTTGCTATCTGGCGTTTCAAAGAAGGAGTTTGCCGACTCCTGGACTAGGGTATAAAACAGTCTTAGGGAACAGGTGGTAGTTCCCTTAAGTGTGATGACGATACCACGGTTACCACAGATGTCCTAGTTCTCAACAGCTGTCTGCACAAATATTTAGGGGTGAAGTACCGTTATGACTGCAGCATAGGAAGTGGTACAGCAAAGATCAAAAAAGACAGAGAGAATTGATCTTAATCGTTGTTGAATTTAAGTGGTGGGAATATATGGCTGTTCTGGGGACTATTTTCTCCAGCGATTCTGTATGTTTGAAATTTTCCATGATAGAAAGTTGCAGAACACTTCATCTAGGTTTATGCCCTGTTTCTCTTTGCAGGGTTTTGTTCTAAGTCTCAACTGCTTTTAGATGCAATGGCATTTCTTAGGAGAGTACTCAGAACAGCAAAATTCTACTGAAACACTGAAATGTACAAGGCTCTGGACTCCACTCTACTTAGATTTTACCTGTTTAGGTCATATCCTGTTTCAGCAGCTGCAAGAAAAGATAACCCATTCTATGCTGCCTATCAAGGAACGTTTCCAGTAGACAATAATGCATATCTTCATTTTAGTCTTCAGTTTCTTCTGATTTTAAAGAAATAGAAATGTTTGACTTATAATATCTAAGCTATTTAATATACTAAAATGCACTGGTTGACTCTAATGATTTATATATGTCTGAGTTTGTGTAATGTGTACCTAGAGGGAAAAGAGTATTAATTTGACCTAGAGTTTGTATAGGACATATACAAATCAAACAGATTCACATGTATGGCTTCAGTCATTAATTAGATACAATCAGCAATTTTGTAGTAACTACACTAATACTTATCTGACAGTTCCTGAACTGAACTTTTAAATTATTCTCATAAAAATAAACCAATCACTAATGCCAAAAAAAAAAAGATAACCCATTCTATTGCTTCCAGATTGTCTTGTGCTTTTATCACTGTTTGAGAATGTGTGTACTGAGGAAGGGAATAGTTCTGTTGCTAAAATATTTTTACTTTTCATCTAGAGCACCCAGCACATAAAAACTCTCTTTTAAATCAGATTTTTTTTTAGTGTAAAAATTACTTTCGTTCACCAAAGAATATCATGTTTCAAATGTTTTAAGGGACTCCACTGTGGGTTGCCTGGTTTCGCTGCTATTTCATTTTTGTGCTTATATATCCTGATTCCTTCTGGGAATCAGATGCATTTGCCTGAATGGCATACCTAGTAACCAGAACAGCCTCCACCTTAGTGCAGTGGCAGAAAATGGCAAAGTTAGCAAATAACAATACCCTGAGGCCAGAGACTTGTACCAGATCTGTTGTGCAAAATCAAGCTCATGGTTTCACTGAGTCTTTTGTTTAAAACGGAAAAAACAATTATCCTACTTGGGATGAAATAGGGAGAAAGCTGAGAGGGTCCAATGATACTGTGTAAAAAGGCTTGGAATGTAAACCCTAGACCATCACGGCCACTGGGCCAAAATGAGCACCGGTTTTCTTCGTAATAAAGTTTTACTGGAACAAAGAGACACCACGGCTACATATGGTCTACAGCTGCTTTGCATTAAAGCTGAGTAGTTACTGCAGACCATATGGTGAGCAAACACAGAATATTTGCTATCTGGCGCTTTACAAACAATGAATTGCTGACCTTGCTCCAGACCACTATGGACGTTTAACAACCTACAGGAGTGTGCTGATCATTGAATCTCAGAGTCAGAAAGGGCTTTCGGAGAACTTGCAGCTCAGTATCATCACTAGATACACAGCACCTGTGGCTCAGAAGGGTAAAATGTGTCTAAGGTCACAGACATTTGATGTGGAATTCTGGAGCACACCCCTGGTACCACCCAGCCAAAACTAAACAGGGTAGAGGTGAACTCGAAGACAGCGAGGCCATTGGGGCCCAATCTCAAGTTGAAATGGCTGGTGTTCAGGCACTAATTTGTGCTGCAAGGGGGAGGTAAGAGTGTGCTTCATCACGGAAGTTAATCCTAAATGAAACCTGTTGGTGCCTGTGGCAGCAAAACCTGAAAATGGCAAGCAAGTTTCCAGGAGTCCAAGGAGGCTCTCAGCAGACAGCCTGTAACAATCAAGGTCTCCTCAATCACCCCAGTCCACCGCAGGGCTAGAGAAGGGAGTGGTGGTGGAGACTAACATTTATCAAATACTACTGAACACAGCCTACTGTATGCAGGACACTTTCATGAACTTACATGATTTCATTCCACCTCCCCCCACCACACACAACCTACGGAACAGGTAATGTCCCCATTTAAAGCCGCAGATGCTGAGGCTCTGAAGTTAAATGACTTGCTCAAGGCCACACAGCTGTGAGCAGGAAAAGATGAGACTCTACTAGGTCTATTTGACTTGGAAACCTATGTTTTTCATATCAGGCTACCGGCACAGGCCTGAGGAGGGCACAAAAGCTGGTAGAGAGACTGAGCTGGGTGTTCAAACCTAGGGCTGGCGGTGAGACTCCAGAACTGTGTTTTCCAACCCAGGCCCGTCCCATCTCTCCTAGCACTCGGAGGTTTTGAAGAGCTGGTCAGAGCTTCCATCTAATCTTTCCAAGGAACTCAGAATAGAGTTCAGCCGCTCCACGGGCGACAGAAGATCCTTAGCCGCCCCAGGTCGCCCACCTGGCAGGTCGTTAACCCCGTCCAGGAGAACCAGCGGGCTCTGCACCAGCTGCCGCGAGCCCGCCGGGCGCCGCTTACCTGCCGCGGGGCCGTCAGGGTCCCGTCTACATCGAAGAGGCAGAGCGCTGGCCTGGGTGCCGCCATAACCCCAACTTCCACGCGTACCTTACAGGACTCGCTGGCACCTGGAACTCGGCCCGGAACTTCCGGGTCCGGCCCCCCGTGCCGCAAGGTACGCCGGGAGGAGGAGAATCCACTCCCACAATGCCTGCGATTAGCGGCAGCTATGCTCCCTGGACTACAGGTCCCAGAATGCAACGCGCCTCTACGCTATCCTATTGGGGCCGAGCACCCTCTCCTGGGGTTCCGGGAGTAGGTGGGATTCACTTCCGGCAGCAGGAAGCAGGGCCATGGTAAGAAGGCAGGTTGCGGGAATGAGGGAGGTGACGTGTTTTGGGGGTCGGGGTCAGGCCTGGGGCAGGCATGCAGAGGCCTGGGGTTATGATAAGGAGAATCTGCAGGAGGGACCTCTGGCGTGGGTTACGATTTGGTATTCCCGGCCTTCTTTTGTGCTCGGGTCACGTGGGCCAACTACAGCGGCAACTAAAGCTCACTGAGCACTCACCGTGCATCAAGTGCATTCGAGGGCTTTAAAACTATTACCTCATTCAGTATGTTCTGGATCCCCACTTTGAAAGATGAAGAAACTGGGGCTCAGAGAGGTGGAGTAATTTGCCCGAGGATCCACAGCTAGTGATTGTAGGAGCCAGAACTGGAACCCAGATCCGCCTCCATCGCCCGAAGTTATCTTTCACTGCACTTTTCAAGGTGTAGAAGTGTGCACCTGGTAAAACCCTGTGCCACGGGTTGACGCCTCCATTCCTCCCTCCTCTTCCCCTAATCTAGGCTAAGAAAACAGCGTTTTCCTTCTGCCCCCAAGACGATGCTTTAACCTGACCGAGAATTGGAAAGTCCGTCATAATAATGAATAGCGGATTTGTTTGCCACTAGGACAGTGACTTACTTTCGTCCCTGGGGAAATGTTCACACAGGCTTATGGATCCAGTGCCCAGTCCAGGGTTGGCCCTTCCTAGGTATTTTTCAATGAATGAAAGCTGTGACTCCTTTTCTATACCTGCCTGCTTGAACTGCCTGGAGGATGGAGGACCGGTTTGAAAGTCAGACTGCCCCACACGCTGGCTGTGTGTCTTTGGGTAAATTTCTTACCTTCTCTGGGTTGATTCCTTAGTGGTCAAGTAGAAGTAGTGGTTCCCATCTCACAACCGCTTTTGTGAAGATCACGTGAGATAAAAGCATCTAGCTTACCTTTCTTTTCATCTCTGGCTGTAACGCCAACCTCACAGGATTGGCGGGGAGCCTCCGTGTAAGATACTTTGCAGATGTCTGTTACGTGAGTTAGCATGGTTGAGTTGCGAGAGAGAAATGATCTCCCTGTCTCCCTTGCAGGCTGCCCTCCTCCGAACTGTGCCACGATTGCCAAGGACAGCTGCATGGGGAAGGCCTCTCCAAGGGCTGTGGTGCTGCAGTGGGCAGGATCCTAGGAGGTGGGTGGGGAGCAGGCTGCCCACCTCCAAGGAGAAACCAGCAGGCACAGAGACAGAGAAGTTTCAGATGGTCTACCGGTTTGATGCCATTAGGGCCTTCGGGTACTTGTCACGTCTCAAGGTGGCTCAGACAGCCCTGACGTTGGTGGCCCTGCCACCTGGCCTCTACTGGTACTCCCAGGGCCTCATGACCTTCAGCTCCCTGTGTCTCGCGGGCGGCATAGCTGGCTTCGCGCTGGCCATGTTGTGCTGGATGAGCCATTTCTTCCGGAGGCTGGTGGGCATCCTGTACGTGAATGAGTCGGGCACCGTGCTGCGGGTGGCCCACCTAACCTTCTGGGGCCGGCGACAGGACACCTACTGCCCCGTGGCCGACGTCATCCCCATGACGGAAAGCAGAGATCGGCCTCAGGAGCTGTTCATGCGAATCCAGCAGTACAGTGGGAAGCAGACCTTCTACCTCACCCTGCGCTACGGACGCATCCTGGACAGAGAGCGTTTCACGCAGGTGTTTGGGATGCCAGATGGACTCAAGTGAAGGGTCTCCTGCAGGAGGGCAGAGGGGGTGAGCGAGGCTGGAAAAGGGGATCCGACAGCTGGAGACTTTGCCAGCATCCCTGGGAACTTATCTTTTGGAATGAGGAAATTCACAGGAGAAAACCTAGTAGTGTGGTTACTACGCCTGAGTGCACATTCTTAACTGCACTTGTGTACGACATTCAGATGATGGCCAGAAGTTTCTGTTAAGAGCCAAGCCAGTTCTTGGAGGAATCTATGCCAAGTTCACTCAAACTGTACAAACACAGGTGTGGGAGGAGCCAAAAGGCTTGGGTCTGTCTGTTCTCAGAGCTCCGTCCTAGGACAGATTATTAAGTCTCTTGGAACCTTGGTTTTCACATCTGTAAAATGGAAAAATCCTCCCTGTCCCCTGGGATGGTGTGAAGATAAACAATAAATGTCACTGTTAGTTTAGAGGTGAGGGTGCCCAGAAAGGCTTCCAGGCAATCGGGAGGGATTTCCTGAGCCCTGGGCTGCACCCTCTGGTGGACCCAGCAGCACGGGGGACTGGGACGAAGCCTACAGGTGGGTCATTTCTACCTGCCAGCAGGTCATTGCACAGCCACTGGGACAGGGGTGTCGTCCAGGCAAGCTCACCACCTGGAGGTCTAGGGGCTCTCATGTAGGGAGGCCTTGCAGTGTGATCAAGTCCGTGAACTCGGTGCTGGTGCGATCCTTTACAAACTAAAGCCAGCTATATGCAGTGCCCCCTGTAGTTAGTAATATATGTTTAGTAATATATTTATCATATAATTTATAACAGTAAAGAGGAAGTCGATCTTTATGATTCTCACTCAAAAGTCAATAACTAAATTTTGTTTTGTGACCTTCCAGTCTTTTTTCACTGTAGTAAAATATAAACATAAAAAATTTATCCTTTTAACCATTTTTAAGTGCACAATTAAGTGGTATTAAGTGTATTTACAATGTTGTGCAACCACCACCACTCTCCATCTCCAGAACTTTTTCATCATCCCAGCCACTAACTCTGTGCCCATTAAACAGTAACTCCCCAACCCCACCTTTCTCCAGTCCTTGGCAGCCAGTAATTTGCTTTCTGTCTCTGGATTTGCTTATTCTGGATGTTTCATATAAATGGATTCATATACTATATGGCCTTTTATGTCTGGCTTCTTTGACTTGGCGTAATTTTCAAGGTTGATCCATGTTATGTCAGAACTTCATTCTCTTTTTATGGCAGAATTGTATATGTGTATGTTACACCTTGCTTATCTATTCATCTGTTGATGGAGTTTTGACTGTTTCCACTTTTGGCTATTGTGAATAATGCTGCTGTGAACACTGGTGTACAGATGTCTGAGTTTCTGCTGTCAGTTCTTTTGGGTATTTTCTGAGAAATGGAATTAATTACTGGACCATATGGTAATTCTACATTTAACTTTTGGAGAACTTGTCAGACTTCCATAGTGGCTGCATCATTTTATATTCCCACCAGCAATGAATAAGAGTTCCAGTTTATCCACATCTTCTTTTTTTTAATAGCCTTCCTAATGCGTAGAAGTGGTATCTCATTGTGCTTCCAGTGTTTATTTAAAACATAGATGTTTTCCTGTACCTGAAAGTTTTTTTTTGCTTCATGTTATAACATAAGACTATGTCAGTTACAAACATTCATTAAAAATATTCAGTCACAAAAAAGAAAAACTTGTAACTGTTGAAATGCTAGCTACTAACTTATTATGGTCATCACTTTGCAATATATACATATATAAATCATTATGTTGTAGACTTTAAGTTCATACAATGTCATATGTCAATTATATCAATAAACTTGGGGGGAAAACAGGCAACATACCTTACAAGTAGGTAAAAACAGAAGTCCCAGATTATTTGATTTTTTTTCATTTAAATACTTCTTATGCAAAAAAAAAATCAGTAATTGTAAAATATTCACTGAGCGGATGTAGCCGGTTCTGTAACCTTTACTGTTTAAATGATTTCCATTTTTTCATTGCTATAAAGAATGTGAAAAATATCAAATATATGGGGAGAGACCCTTCCTCTGTGTAGACTGAAAATGGCATTTGGAGCAAAGGAACTTTATAATCAAGATAATATGAAAGAAGTTAGATCTTAATTTATTTCATTTCCCCAGAATTTATTCCACCTTCATGCAAAAAAGCATATAATTCAAGACAGTTTGTTCCTGCAGGCTTCCAGATCAGCCAGTCATCTTCCCCAAACCTCTTGTGCTGGGTGCTAAGGGCACCGCCGTTCATAGAAGGTTTTTGCTTTTGTGGGGCTTCCAGAGTCTAGGTGGGGAGGGAGGACGGAGCTAAGTGCTTGTAGGTAGTTAGAGATGGGACAGTGCAGTGAAAGAGGAGGGGGCGAGGGTTGGGAGAGGAGCCAGCATGCCCTGGGACACCCAGGATGGGGAAGGAGACCCCAGGCATGAGGAGGAAAGTGTTACTCACCGCTCTGTCCGGCCCAGGGAAAACAGTAAGCGTGCGCTTCTGCCCTGGATAGGGGCTTGCCTCTGCTAAAGCGAGATCCCTGATTTTGACCCTTATCACTGTGGGAAGCCTTTGAAGGTCAGATAAAGAGAACATTGAGAGAAAGTTTGGGAACTTTCAAGAATAATAGGAAACAGCACTTTTTAATTTGTATTCATTTTTAGTTAAAGATTGAAGTCAAAGGACAGAGGCTTATGGATGTTTCCTCCATTACATTCCACTGTGTGTTGATTCCTGCCCGTGAGAGACAGTGGTCTGGGGAGTGTGTGATCGTGTCCCTCGGATGTTTAGGATCGCTGGTACCCACTGTCAGCCAGGGCACATCTGTACTTTTCCTCAATAGAGGGGTCATGTGTGCAATGTGAGGTCTGACCCAGAGCCTGGCCGTGGGCCCAGAGGGCCTCAGACCCACTCAGAATGCCGGCTCTTCAGGGCAAATGGCACGAGTTTCCACAGCTCTGCACTCAGGGCTTCACTCAGCTGTATTTCCCTTGCTCTTCCTCCAATAATCACAGACCCTCCAGCCCTAGGGCCTTAGAGTTGGCAGCTTCTTCTGCCTGAAAGCCTTTCTCCGTAGATGTTACAGGGAAGTTTCCATCTGTCTCTCCATGGCTCTGGTTCTTCCTCTGTAATAACAGGGTGTTACTATCTCTGCTTAAGAAGTTGTAGTGAGGATTCAATTACATAGAAGACTTGATTATATAATCATTCAGAACTGTGGGTTCTCGCCCCTATCTTTCCCTCACCTGTTTATTAGGGCCGTCAATGACTGTGAGCCTCTTCCCCCTAAGACAAACTGTGTGCCTATAACATGTCTTAAGAGGGATTAATGATTTGACCTTGACTTATTAAAATCAAAAATTAACTCCAGTAGGTCTGTTAGATTACTTGTAAGCAATTACCTAAGCCATCCTTACCCGTGGAGATTCTGATTATGTCTGGGATGTGTCCCCAGAATGTTTTTTCTTTCTTCCTTCCTTCCTTTTCTTCTTTTCTTTTCTTTTCTTTCTTTCTTTCTCTCTTTCTTTCTCTCTTTCTCTCTCTCTTTCTTTCTTTCTCTCTTTCTTTCTCTCTTTCTCTCTCTCTTTCTTTCTTTCTCTCTTTCTTTTTTTCTTTTCTTTCTCTCTCTCTCTTTTTTTTTTTTTTTGTCAAGCTTGAGGCTAATTCTGCAACGCAGCCGGTCTGGGAATTTCTGAAATAAAACCAGGCCTCCATGTTCCTGGGTCAGTTGTTTTTTTTTTCCCCTTAAAGAATAGGTTCCCAGCCTGGGCTGTGTGTAGAATCACCTGGAGACCTTTAAAAAAAACCCCAAAAAACTCCATTGCCCAGGCCCATGGCCAGGTTCCCTAGGTGATTCTTATGCATTGCCTGGGTTGAAAATCAGTGCCCGGAAGTATCTGCATGGGAGGCAATAGCCCCGATTCCCACCAGCTTTGGCGCGGAAGAGCCTCCACTTGGATGTGTGGTCTGCTCCTGCAGTGCCAGCAGAGGGCACACAGAGCAAACTCCATCCTTTCTTCCCGGCTACAATCACAGTTCCCGGTGAAAACAGAAACTGGGCTAGGGCTCAGTGGCTCACCAGCAGGACCAGGGAGCTGCTTCCAAATCCCACATCAACAACAATAAAAACAACAAAACTCACCTGTGCTCCACCCTGTTGATTCTGGTAGAAGCAGCTGGGCATCTGTGTCTTTACGCTTCCCAGGTATTTCCAAGGCGCCCCGAGTTTTGAGAATCATTGTACGGGATTTACCCTTCCCAAGAGCCACCTCTGACGGTGAAGTCGCTAATCAGAAAATGGAGGTAGTCTTTATAGTCAAGTAGCGGATATATTGGCAATTACCCATTTGAAAAAAATTCCCAAAATCACCTGATAGAAATACCCAAGCTTATGTATGAGGATGTTTACTGCATGTTTCTAAGAGTGAAACATACAACAACAGGAAGTAAACTCAGTTTCCATTGGTAGGCAACACAGTTAAATCAACTATGACATATTACAAGTCCTGAGAAAGAGTGAGGTTGAACCAGACCAGCTGATGCGGACAGGTAATCGTCGGGCTGCATTAACTGGAAAAAGCAAATCACAGAACAATACAGCTCTATATCATCCTGTTTGTTACAAATGGTTCACAATGGTTAACCCTGGGGAGTGGGTCGGGGTGGATGAGATAAAGGGAAGCTTTCTACTCTCAACTTTATAACCTTCTAGAACCCTACTTCAAAAAGACACCTGCACCCCAATACTCATAGCAGCACTATTTACAACAGCCAAGACAATGGAAACAGCCTAAATGTCCATCAACAGATGCCTGGATAAAGAAGATGTGGTATATTTATACAATGGAATACTGTTTAGCCATAAAACCCGACAACGTAACGCCATATGCAGCAACATGGATGTTACTGGAGAATGTC